CCGGCGTGCCGGAGGAATCAGAGACCGCCGATTTCTTCTCCTCCACCGCCCAGAAAATGGGTCCGAACTTCCTCTTCAAGTTCTTCCACGCTGCAGCGTTACTCCGGCGACCGCTGGACGCCGCGCTGGCGAAGATCCGGCCGGACTGCCTAGTCTCCGACGCGTTCTTCCCCTGGAGCGCGGAATCCGCGGGGAAATTCGGCATCCCGAGGTTGGTCTTCCATGGCACCGGGTACTTCGCTCTCTGTACCGCCGTTTGCATCCGGGTTCACAAGCCGCACAAGAATTCGGATTCGGAGTCCTTCGTGGTTCCTTGTCTGCCGGGGAAAATCGAGCTCACCCCGAGCCAGTTGCCGGAGAGTGCGAGGAAGGAGGAGGAAGGGAATCCGTTTACGGAGCTGGTCAGGGAAATGGCTGAATCGGAGGGGAAGAGCTACGGGGTGATCGTGAATAGCTTCCGCGAGCTTGAACCCAACTACGCCGATTTCTACCGCGACGAATTGGGGAGAAGAAATTGGGCAATCGGCCCTGTTTCGCTCTCCAATCGGAGATCCGAGGAGAAAGCGGGCAGAGGAGGCAGGGGAACAGGGGAATCGAGCTCCGATTGCTTGAAATGGCTGGAATCCAAGGAGCCCGATTCCGTGATCTACATTTGTTTCGGGAGTTTGGCCGATTTCGCCGATTCCCAGCTGAAAGAGATCGCAGCAGCGCTGGAGAGCTGGGGCGGGAGCTTCATCTGGGTCGTGAGGAAAGATCCAAGAACAGAGTCTGAATCTGAATCTGAAGAAGAATGGCTGCCGGTGGGATTCGAGGACAGAACGGCGGAGAAAGGGCTGATAATTAGAGGGTGGGCACCTCAAATTTTGATTCTGGACCACGAGGCGGTGGGCGGATTCGTGACGCACTGCGGGTGGAATTCGACGCTGGAAGGGATAACAGTGGGGAAGGCGATGGTGACCTGGCCGGTGGCGGCGGAGCAATTCTACAACGAGAAGCTGGTGACGGCGGTGTTGGGGATCGGTTTACCGGTCGAGGCGGAGAAGTGGGTGAGAGGGACTGGTGATGATGAAGTGATCATGGCGGAAGGGATTGAGATTGCTGTGAGGAGGTTGATGGATGGAGATGAAGGGAAAGAGATGAGGAGGAAGGCTAAGGAGCTTAGGGAAATGGCGAGAATGGCGATTGAAGAAGGTGGATCTTCGCATTCTAGTTTGAGTGATCTAATCGATGAATTGAAACAACGATCTCACGTGTAAAAATGTTGGTTTTAGTTCATCATATGATTGTTTTCGTAGAGAGCAATGTTGTCAGAATCGAATTAGAGTATGAGCTGTAACAGCGAGCAGGTCGGGTTGTATCCACCCCTAACTGGGAAATAGTAGACAAGGATTAACGCAACAAAGATAACGAAAGAATTGAGTATTTACAGGGTACCTGCGTCTGATCTTCTTGGTACATTAAAGAGCTAACAAATCATCTTCTCCCCAGCCATCAGAGCACAAACTTAAAACACCACCCACGAAACCAGTTCCGAGATCATACAACAAACCACTAAATGTACAGACCACCATTACAGTACTCTTAAATCTTCCCAGGAGTAGTACACTTGTCTTTCACAAATGCAGCTGTCGACACTTGGTCGAATCAATCTCAGTAGGACAGTACGGGCACTTGAAGCTCTTGGCGTTGTTCTTCGACATCTTATTCACCGACTGCTTGCACAGCACGTGTCCACACGACATCAACATTGGCGGGTTCTCATCACTCGACTGCTCCTTCGACACTGGACACACAAACACCGAGTGGAACTGAAATGCTCCATCCAGCTCCACAGGGACTGGCAGCTGCTTCATGGTCTGCCACTCCTGCTGCTTCTTCCCTGCAATCACCGTCATGAACTTCAGCAGCGGTGGCAGACTCTGGAACCCTGCTGATACTGTCACGCCCAACGGGCTCTCGGCTGATGAGGATTGGCCCATGAGACTGCAGAACTGACGTGTCACTTCCTCGGCGACTGAGCTCCAGTTCTCTGGGGATAGTAGCTCAGCATAAGGAGACCGGTCTAGCTTTCCTGACCAGAGAAGACATGCCATGATCTTCTGGAGCTCCGCAAAGTGATTGCCAGCAAATGGAGCGATGTTGGTCCTTGCATAATTGAGAGCTTCCTTTCTGCTGCCAGTTTGAAGTATCTCCACAAACTGTAGTCGGTGGAGCTTGAGTTGAAGGTCCGACCCGTTTTCTCTGAGCTTCACCGAGTTGGCAGCAACCCAGGATAATGCGGGCCCCAGGTTCCGGTTTTTGACAGCCTCGAGAATTGTGTACATTTCTGAGAAGAGAGTTCTTGCTGCAAGAGCACAGTCGGGCTCCTTGCTGGCCTCGGATATGAAGCAATCGCCAATTTCAAACATACCTTGCCGGTAGAAATGGCTGGCGATGATCTGGTTAAGGGAATGGATGTCGAACTCGATGTTTCGGTAAGCTTTGGAAATGTCTGGGTTGAAAGCTTTCTCGAGTTGCTTTGGGTACTTGCTCAAGGCTATGTTCAGTTCCTTCTGTGTGGATTCGAGCTGGCTGAGGGGAGCAACTTCCTTCAGCTTTTTCTTCAGTTCAATCAGGAGAGTATTGCAGTCTGATGGACCGCTGATGGTTTCTGATTTCATGTTTGCTAATGTCGTTTCGATTTCTTGCATGATCAGGTCGATCACTTCTTGAGCTTTGGAACTGGACAGCTTCTGTTTCTTTGTGACACGGTCGAATGCATCCTTGATAGGGTTCAGATCCATTTTCTTTTACTTATCTACCACTGTAAGTTTGAGCTCAATGGCAAATCCTGCACCAAAGGCAAGGTATATAGTTAAAGTTAATGATGCCTGAATAAGTCTTATCTGAATCTATGCAGGAAGCATCAATTCATTCTTGCTACCTATATGATCAGAGTCCTGGGATGATATGGACTTCATTTCCACACAGCACAGAACCAAACAGATACAAGGCATCTCTATCACAGACTTGATAATAATAGAAACTGACAACTTGAAATTAGAGACGAACTATCTAGCACATATAGTCTGAGGTTTGAGTTTTTAACTGCAAACGACCTCATTCACAATTGCAAGGAAGAAGATAGAATAAACATAACAAATCATGCATGAAAGGCGTGACAGTAAGGAAAGCAATTAACATGCCACGAGAAGCCACAAAATGACTGAATATTACTGAGGAGAAACAATTAGCTAGAAAGAAAACAACTTGTGATTAGGGTAAAGAAAACCATAGTTAGAACTTGTTTTGCAAAAAGAGCTACATACAAGTCAGGGTAAAATTTCACTCCTATGAGATCCTTTCCACAACAGTTTGCAAAGAACTTCAAACACTATGACTTTCGTCACATGACATGATCGAAGGCAGCTTGCTTGAGTAATGGTAATCAATGAAAAAGAGGGAATTATGCGAATGAAATAAGCAACAACTTCGCAGAACAATTAAATGAAAGCAGTAGGCAAAATCCAGCACTGTCGCAAAAATTATCCCAGAATAAGAAATCTTAACAAACTTCAATACTTCAAATTTGAAGAACTTAATTTTGGTTGTGTGCAAAAAAGTGTTCTTCTACAACTTGCAAATCAGAAATACAACATAAGGGAGCTTTCATGTTGTTGTTCGTTTCACTGAATAAAAGAAAAAGTGAGCACATTTCGTTGAGCCGTTATCTTCTAAAATCAACAGTAGGACTTCAAACTCGGATTATGGGAAAGTTTCTGAATTTCCATTTCCAAATACCACTAGCCAAAGCAAGCAAGTAGCAGCATTCATGACGGCATAGAAACATCCAAACAATTTCAAGTTGGCTTGCAACGAGCACATCCAATTCTACCCAAAGACTTGACAAATCCAAATGCAGACACTCTCAACGGTTCAGTAACAATGACATATTGCCTTAGCACAGTTGAATCCGCAATTAAAATACCCATGACTCTACAACTAAAGGTAAAATAACAAACTACACATCCATCTTGAGAGCTTCTGCGCTGGCGATACTAGTGCTTGTTAGTTGCTCACCGTCAAAAACCAATCAAGCAGAAATTATGAATAAAATAGTATACATATCATAGCATCATCCATTGTTGTCGGCAGTATTGAAGTCAACATGCAAAACCCAAACAAATTTCCACTATCAAGAGATCGAACTCCTACCCCTGCACCTCAAAGTCAAGCATCAGCAGAAGTTACAGTTCTAAGTTCCATGCCAGCGCTAAACAGGAAATGAAAGAAAACCAAGAACAGAAAAGTAAACGAACCCAACTTGAAGATGGGCGAAGAGAAAAGAACAAAGAAACACTTGAAAGAAAACCTCAACGAGTCCTTCGATTGATGAATCATCCGTCGAATTAATAAACCCTCCTGCTCAATTGATCTAACCAATCGAGCAAAGCCAAACTCATAAATCAATAACAGAGCTCCAATCCAAAAACCGATGAATACAGCGCCAAGATTCAGGCGCTTCACAACCGATCTAGATTCAAGGAGGATCCGACGAAAAAGAAGAAGAAAAGAGGAAATGAATAGCCTCGCGATACCGTCGCTGTAGAAGAAGGAAGAAAATTACCAGATGATTTACTGGGAAAAGCTTCGGGAGATGGACGATGCGGCAGAAGCTTCGACAAGGAATCACAGGCAGCTCTGTATTTGTTGGCGGCGGCGGCGAAAGGGGGACGGTGGAGGAGAAGGAAGGAGACGGGGGAGTAGAGGAAGAATAAGAGATTTGGTGGTGAATTCTTCTTTCTTCTATCTTTTGCTAAAACCATTTCCGGGAATTTTATATATTTTTTTAAAGTTTTTAATCTTTTTTTTTCCTGTTCTAATCCGATTTCGTGTTTCTTTACACAGAAGGACGGCACGAATCACGTGCGGATGGTTTTACCGCGTTGGGCCGAAATTGGATCTTTGTGCTAGGCCGACATTAACGGGCCTGGGCCGAAGCCCAACCACGAGAGGTGAACTAAATGTAGGAAAGAAACAGAAAACCGGGAAGCAAACGTTTGGTTCGACCGAGGAAGGGAAGGCGCCGCCAATCCACCATTGCCGCCGCGCCACCGCGGGATCGGGCTCAGAGTAAGGATAGCCGGGAAAGAGAGAGATTCGACCAGCACTGTTTGTACTGAGGAGGTTCCTTTTGATTTTGCAGGGAGAAGGGTGAGTTCGATTGCCTATCAGGTGTTCGGAGAAATTACTCTGAGAAATTTCCGATGGCAATGGTATCTGCAGCAGCGGCAAATGAAAACGGGAAAGAATCAAAAGGTGGATTGAAGGAGAAAACTCTGCAGATATTCGAGGACTTCTTGACGAGGTTAATTATATCGACTTCCACCATTTTTTTCCTTGGTTGGAGTGTCTTGGTAGTTTCTGAATTGGCTGGTGGCGTTTGATTTCAGGGTCGCAAAGCTTGAGGAGCTTGGTGCCGTTGCAAATAGATATCTCAGTGGGTTTCAGCAATCCCTTGGTGGGTTCCCTTTTTTTGGGGCGCCGCTTTTCTTACCTTCTCTGATTCGGCTATGCTAGTGTCTAAAGCTGGTTGCTTTGTTGATTTTCCCCTTGTTTGTTTGTTAAGCACAGACTTTCTTCGGCGACCTCCCATAGACATGGAATCGAAATTGATGAGCAAGCTCATAAGTGCTAATGACACGAAGAGGATGAAATCATACATCCAAGCCGGCTGCTGCAACACTCTTGACAGAGTGCAGAATACGAGCAAGTGTAAGCAAAGGCAGTTCACCTATAGATTCCTTGTTCCGTCACTATTCTTATGATTCGTTTCCTTATTGAGACGGATTGTTATTTCGTTTCCTATAGGAATGGCAATGGGTCGGGTTGGGTCAGGTTTTGCCAATTCCAAACCCAAACTCATGGGTTTATCCGTGAAAAAAACTCTTATGTGCAAAGCTGGTAACCTTTTCTTTTACAAATGGTGATGGTTGTGACAATCTAACTTGTTCTGTTCACCCCACTTATCGGGTACACTTTTGGTGCGCTTACCCTTTGCTCTAATTATGGTTGCTGTTACGTTCTTGCATCTCATGGATTAGTTCACTCTAGATATGCACTTAGATTTTAAGTAGGCCCACGTATAGCCATGTAAATATGGCTTATATTAACTGCCTGATGACAGCAATTTGCTTATATAGCCTGTTAAAAGCCATTCAGCTTTGAAGTTAAATACACTATTCTCTCCCGTGATGGTATTTATGTGTCAACTGTGGCATATGAAATGAGCTCCTACACTGTGGAATATTTATATCTTACTAGTTTAGCTTCTTCATTTTCTTGTTTTGGGAGCAGAAGCAGTTGAAAAATGGCGCAATGAGAAGCTACTAGAAGTCAAGCAGTCAATTAATCTTAATAGAGGAGGGAATTCAACTTTTGTTCAGGAAGAAGCTGGTATCTCGCTCTCCTTGCAAGGCTATTGTTTGTTCCAAGTGAAAAACAAAAACCAAACAATTAGCTGCATGAAGTCTATAGGATACATGGGAATTGTTCTTTGTTCTAGGGTCATTTTGCTTACTCACTTACCTGCATGTTCTGTAGGATTGCTGGTAAAAGCCCTGGAATCCGATTGGGCAGTGCTCTCGGAGAACATAGGCCTTTGGATTACTGCTGAAGTCACTAATCCAGAGCATGATGATAGACCAGAGGGTCAAGAGGAGCAAGGAAAACCAGTCACACACAGTTTGGTGTAATGTCTTGTCTCTTTTTCACCACAACAAGGCTTATCTTCAAAGTGGGTGATTGAAAGTGACGAAATAAGCACCTTGTCTCAAGTGGGTAATTTCTGATTTGTGCCCTTAAAAACTTTATCTTTACCCTTAAGTCAACAACAAGAACACTCTTAGCACTATCTTTGAGGTGAGCAGCTGCAAAGCCACCATCAAGCTTTGAGGTCAATTTGGACATCAACTCAAGATTGAGACTTTTTCCCTTCCCCCACATTCCATGGTGCTTGCACTTCCTCCCTTTCTTTCTTTCTTCTTTATAGCCAAGTTAAGCATCAGTTTCCCCACCAAAGTTTTAGCTTTTTTGTGTATTGTCTAATTCCTTTCTCTGAATCAAAATGGGTGTGTTCTATCAGGAAGAGCCACCCCCACAAAACCCATCAAAGAAATGCAAGTTCCTCCTGGTTTCAACTCTCAAAGATGCCTTCTCCATCTGTCGATCTTGCGGCGGCCACATAAGCTCTCTCCAGCAGCAGCAGGATGAGGATTATGTTCCCAACACGACAACTGAGCTCGAAGATCTTGATGAACACGAAGTACTTTCCACTTCTTCAAACCGTTCCAATTTTCCTGTACGGACATACAAAAAACAACACGCATGAGTTTGTTTTTGTCTTTATGAAAATAACTATATTGTTTCTTCTTTCAGGTTGTCGTGTCAGCAATCAGGAGCAGAGCCATGGAGAAGTTGAAGCAGAAGGTGTTTGTGATCACAGATAGCTTTTCAGGGGAACTGCTCTTTAGTCCTGAGAAGCAGAAGGATGGAGAAGTTGAAAAGGATGAAGATTTCTTCTCTGTTGGGAGCTGTCTTTCGTGTTGTTCGAGCGGGTTGAGCAAGGGGGGCGAAGAGTTCTTCACGGTGAAGACAAACTTGTTGTCGAGGTGTTCGAGCTTGAGTCGGGTGGAGTTCCCAAGTTTTCACAGGCGGGTTTCGATATTGCAGGAGCTCTGCCACTGCCAAGGGTGGCCATTCGGTCTCTGCAGGAAGGCTGTTTTGCTCCCACCTCTGCCTAAGTCTCCCTCTGATTCCTGGCTATGGCGGAAAGGCACTAGATCAGCCAGGTTGCCTTAGAGTTCTTGCAACTTGCAACAAAGACGAGAACCTTTGGAAGAGTTTGAGAATAAGATAGACTGCTGCGGAAGGATGCAAAGTTTATTGTTCTGCCATATTGTCATGTCTATTCCCACGTATCAGATTCTAGATTGAAAATCAAAAGTTCAGTCCTATTCCATCAAGAAATTCATTGTACAAACATCAATATTCTATGAGATAGTTTTCGATGATCTGCTAAGGAAACAACCAGGATTATTATACACCAACACAAGGAAAAAAAAAGTTGCCGGCCTTATTTGCTTGAAGAAACCTTTGCTTCCAGTGAAATACAGCTAAATGGAACTGAAATGACGTGAACAACATTACATCAATGCAAATTTTGAAATAACTAAGCTTTTATTGAACTACAATCGAACTCCACTTTAAAAGGTTTCCAAGATCAGCAACTTGATAGAAACCATCGACAAACACAGATTCCAAGCTAGAAAAACTTTCGCAACTAAGCCAAATCGGATCACAGATTCCGGGACTTTAAGCTCTTTGTTCAACATAAGATCCAGCAAGTCCAGAAGTACCAATCAGGGTCACCTGCAAAAACAGGACCAAGTGATTTAGGCTTGCTTTCAAAATATGCATAAAAGTACAGCCAAGTACAGTTCAAGAGGCACAACTGAAAAGATAAAAGCTAGTAAGCCCTGGGATTCAAAACAGTAACCATCATTAAAATGTTAAAGCCATGACGAGCTAATCTCGCTAAAAAGAAGATGATACCAATATGCAAATGCATGAAGCATTTTGAGGCAAAACAGATGGAAAGAAAACATCCCTAGAAACCCATGAAAGCAAAAGGTGCTAGATTGAGGGAGCAATAATCTAAATCGTAAATTTCAGTTAATTAGCGTTCAGTAAAATTGAGCAAGTAATAATACCTTGCCCCACTCTGATCCGAGGCCAGCACATCTCATCTTCAAAAATATCATCTTTGAACCCAATTCCATCTCTACTTTCTTTCTCAGATAGGCCTCATCAGGTCCAAATGACTCCAAATACGCAGAGTATCGTTCAAAAAACATGCGGATTGCCTTTGCGTAATCATCTGTTAGCGGTTTTACATCCTGTGCCACACATTTTTACAAAGTATTATTAACCTTCAAGAACCATTTGACGAATACAAAATATAGAACTAAGAATTTCAAATGAAAAACCATGAGCATACCTCGCCGCTCATCCCAATGCTGTCATCTAGCTCCATCTTTAGAGACATGACCATCCCACTGAATTCTTCGACAGCTTCAGATGACCGGAAAATATTCTTCAATATCTCTTGACCGGATTTGTCATCAGTGTTCTTCGATAGAGCATTCTTCACATCATGGATGACTGTCGCATCAAGTTCATCCCAACTTGCAGCCATCAAGTCCTTGAAAGCACATAAGACATCAGGGTCCTTAATCTCGGGCAAGTGTGCCACATCCTCACTATAAGATCTTTTGCTACCAATATTGATTGCCAAAGGAGACCGAGAACCTAACAACAAGCATGACCAAGAAAAGACCACGTTAAAAGAGGCATGAACTATCATTACCAAGGTAAGCATCAACTTCACACAGACAGTCGTTTGTGGATAAAATCAATCATTGGATCCATCTAATTCACATAAGCCTTGATGAATTTCACATCGATGACAATTGCGGGTACAATTCTACAGCTAGACAATTTACAAAAAAAAAAAAATTATACAGCTAGACACAGGAACCAAAGAAAATTCCTCTCACACATACCCGGCAATGTTCAGATAAAGGCAACAACTTCATTTTCCTATTACCTCAGATTCATTCAACCCAGTTCACCAAATTCGCTCACAAATCGACCCAGAATTTCAAAAGACCCCAAACCAGGTTATAGATAATAACTCCAAGCGTGATGACGAAATTGATAACCAAATAACTACTCAGAGCGCCCAAACCCATAACCGGAAGTATGGTTCAAAAAGAGGCATTACCGGAAGCGATGGGATCCGCAGAAGCGGTGGCGGAAGAGAGAGTGAACAGGGATCGAGGAGCTGACTGATGGTGAAGGAGCTGGTTGCCGGCAACAGCTGCGAAGCCTATCGAAGATCTACGAGAAGCTGCACGATATAGAGACCTGAGAGCCACCATCTTCCCCATCTTCGAAACTTTTCCCTTTTCTGTTCTTGAAAGCAGCAGTTCGGGTCAGCTGGGTATGTCTGTATTCCAGAAAGAAACACTTCAAAGAAAACCTCAACGAGTCCTTCGATTGATGAATCATCCGTCGAATTAATAAACCCTCCTGCTCAATTGATCTAACCAATCGAGCAAAGCCAAACTCATAAATCAATAACAGAGCTCCAATCCAAAAAAACGATGAATACAGCGCAAGATTCAGGCGCTTCACAACCGATCTAGATTCAAGGAGGATCCGACGAAAAAGAAGAGGAAAAGAGGAAACGAATAGCCTCGCGATACCATCGCTGTAGAAGAACGAAGAAAATTACCAGATGATTTACTGGGAAAAGCTTCGGGAGATGGACGATGCGGCAGAAGCTTCGAGAAGGAATCACAGGCAGCTCTGTATTTGTTGGCGGCGGCGGCGAAAGGGGGACGGTGGAGGAGAAGGAAGGAGACGGGGGAGTAGAGGAAGAATAAGAGATTTGGTGGTGAATTCTTCTTTCTTCTATCTTTTGCTAAAACCACTTCCGGGAATTTTATATTTTTTTTCTTTTAAGTTTTTAATCTTTTCTGTTCTAATCCGATTTCGTATTTCTTTACACAGAAGGACGGCACGAATCACGTGCGGATGGTTTTTACCGCGTTGGGCCAAAATTGGATCTTTGAGCTAGGCCGACATTAACGGGCCTGGGCCGAAGCCCAACCACGAGAGGGGAACAAAATGTAGGAAAGAAACAGAAAACGGGTCCTTCCGTATGACCAAAAAAAAAAAAAAAAAACGGGAAGCAAACGTTGGGTTCGATCGAGGAAGGGAAGACGCCGCCAATCCACCATTGCCGCCGCGCCACCGCGGGATCGGGCTCAGAGTAAGGATAGCCGGGAAAGAGAGAGATTCGACCAGCACTATTTCCTTGTTTCTACTGAGGAGGTTCCTTTTGATTTTGCAGGGAGAAGGGTGAGTTCGATTGCCTATCAGGTGTTCGGAGAAATTACTCTGTGAGAAATTTCCGATGGCAATGGTAACTGCAGCCGCGGCAAATGAAAACGGGAACGAATCAAAAGGTGGATTGAAGGAGAAAACTCAGCAGATATTCGAGGACTTCTTGACGAGGTTAATTATATCGACTTCCACCATTTTTCCCCCTTTTTCGTGGTTGGAGTGTCTTGGTAGTTTCTGAATTGGCTGGTGGCGTTTGATTTCAGGGTCGCAAAGCTTGAGGAGCTTGGTGCCGTTGCAAATAGATATCTCAGTGGGTTTCAGCAATCCCTTGGTGGGTTCCCTTTTTTTGGGGCGCCGCTTTTCTTACCTTCTCTGATTCGGTTATGCTAGTATATAAAGCTGGTTGCTTTGTTGATTTTCCCCTTGTTTGTTTGTTAAGCACAGACTTTCTTCGGCGACCTCCCATAGACATGGAATCGAAATTGATGAGCAAGCTCATAAGTGCTAATGACACGAAGAGGATGAAATCATACATCCAAGCCGGCTGCTGCAACACTCTTGACAGAGTGCAGAATACGAGCAAGTGTAAGCAAAGGCAGTTCACCTATAGGTTCCTTGTTCCGTCACTATTCTTATGATTCGTTTCCTTATTGAGACGGATTGTTATTTTGTTCTTCTTTCCAACTATTTGGGCGCAGAAGTAAGGACTTGTCATCTGGGATTGCTTGAGCATCTAAGCAAAGGTAGTTTGCTCTTTACACATTGCTTGCTTTGAGTGTATTCCACGCTTTGGTACCTCAGTTTTGCACGTTTTTTGCTCTTGACTTGACTTTTTCGCACTGGTTTTAAGTTTGATCCCCCTTGTAAATCTTTCCAAAAAGTTGTATGCTTTAGCTTCTACATGACTACATCTGTAAGTGTACCAATCTTGGTTTTTGGAAACTGGCAGTCTTTTTGCATGAAAAAATATGTTGCAAGGGTTGAGAACTGAATGCATTATTAGCTATTACTGCATTATTTCGTCTGTAGCAATCGTGGTGTTAATTCATGTCTCAGTTCGTTCGAATCGTCAAGCATTGATCTTCATTATCTGTTTACTTTACTTCCTTGTTTTATTGAAGAAATCTCTTATCTAAACTATGCAAGATGGTTGTTACAGCCAAAATCATACTGAATGAGGTTGAGGATCTCATGGAGGATCTGACGCTTGCAATTCAAAGTTATAATCGCTCATTACCACCTTTGCAAATTGAAGATCTTTGTGACCAACTGGACGAACAGCATTTACATCAGGTGGGAAGAAATTTGGCTTCATTAAGTAAAAACCGCGCTTTTTTCAATGTTTCACGGACGTTAGATGCATTCAGGCACTTCTTTCTTCATTTAACATCACATTGCATCTGTTCAAGTCCTGCTGTTTCGTGGCTCAAAGATATCTTCATTCTTCCCTAACAGGAGGAGCCATCACTAGGTGACCTGCAACAGCGTGAAGTAATGTTCATTTCTTCGTCGGTTGGGATCATATACAGCATGCTGAAGCAGGATTATGTGATGCAGGTTTTAAGCTCACTCCGGCAGCCTTGTGACGATTTCCTTACTCCGACCATAGAGTTGTTGTCATTTTGTCATTTCCAAACTGAACTTAATGGATGATTCTTGTGCAGGAAAAGATTGTTGGATCGTTAAATCTCAACTCCACCCCAGGGGAATTAGAGAGCTACTGCCTGATGTGGTCACTCCGACCTTACGTAAACGACGAAATCATGCTTCAAGCCTGGAGACTGATCCGCTAGACTTGTTGCCGAGTATGCTGAAGTCCTCAGAACTGTTTGAAACTCGTCATGACAGTACAAGTAGCGTGTTCTCTTTGTTAGCTCGCCTATGTTGACTTGTCCATCATCAAGCACTTAACTTTATGTGTACAGAAATAGACATTTCTGGTTTGTTTCTTCGTGGCTGTCAAATTTTTAGTCAATTATTGAATGGAAAAGCGATATGGCGTTAAAAATGCACCAATTATTGAAGGGCATCGAAATGTTACCACAGGGTAATTAATTTTCATGCCAAAAGATGGATGGTGGAGAGGGAGGAAGGGTAGAAATTCAGGGAAAGGTGATTTCAAGGTTTACACATATTAACCACCAAAATTTTGGTTGCGAAAAGTGGCGCGTCCGTATAAACTCGTACCAAATGGTTCCTCATGTTTGCAGCACAATCTAACAGAGGCATGAATGATTCTTTTCCCCTCCCGCCCTCTGATTCGAAGTAAAAACAAAAAAAGGTTATTAGACGTTGCTAAAGATGATGGCAAGGAATAGCGTCGGTTATAAGTTCGTCATTGTTGTCGTGCTTTTGGCAACCGTGATGCATATTCTGCTTTTTGGAGCTCAGAATGCATTCGCTAATAGAATAATTTCAAGAAATTCCCATTTCCGGGGCGATGGTATGTTGTTAATAAAAGTTATTTGAAAATACCAAAATTTCATTGTCAAATTGAATTGAATCGAATTTTAATAATATATTTTAGAAACCTTAATGCATTCATATCTATATATATGTGGACAGATGAAGAAATGACTGCTAAGGGAAACCCTTCTGGCAGAGAAGGACATGGCTAAAATGAAGAGGATGCAATGTATTCTTCTCCTCACCATGCCTGTAAATGATGTTTGGAGGAAATGACTTCGAGAGTCATGATGATGTTGCAGAGGAACGTAATGCTGGTGTGGGTTTTCTTCATCAGTTTGATTGTATAGATTGTTTTTTTTAAATATTGTTGTTAGAATTTCAAGTTGTTGAAAACATTCCTCAATTTTGGATACCGATTATCAATCCCATCTCTGCTTCTCCGGAGAGCTTCTAACCTGCACTGTTAGAAACAAAAATTCTAACGGGTTTCTAGATCAGATCTACAGATTGAGAATTTAGGATTTATAGAACAGAATTGGGGATTTAGGGATTTGACAAGAGAATTTGGTGAAGAACCGAAGAGAATCGGTCTAAGCCTTTAGAGGGATTGAGGTCAAGAATTGAGAGGATGGGGAGAGGGAGGGATTAAGGAGATAATTCTTTTATTAACTTCTGCTTAATATGACAAATGACCCAAAGTACATATATATAGGAAAATACTAGAAAACCCTAATGATAAACCTAATTCTATTAAATGACTACTAACCTTATTGATAATTACCCTAATAATAATTAGGGCTAATACCACTAGGAAACCCGAACTATTAACTTTGTGTCATTTGTGTCCTAAAATATTCGATATGACATTTGTGTCCCAACCTATTATAGTTTTGTGTCATTTATGTCCTAACAATTTTGTTGACCGTTATATATAACGGTTGACTAGACGGTGGTCAACTTGATGTTGACTTTTGCTGACGTGGCAAACACGTGGCAGCCACGCAGATGCCATGTCATTGACACCTCATATTTTTAATTCAAAATTAAATAAATACTAAAATTAAAAAAACTAATATATATATATATATGAACTCACCCAAGCAATCAATCCCAACAATTAAATAAATACTAAAATTGAAAAAGCAAAAAATAACCAAAGCAACAAAAAATTCTTCGCTGCTGTAGCCCATAAATCCCCGCCGCCGCTGAATGCTCTCTTCGCCGCTGTCAAACAATCAATCGAACAATCAATCCGTCCCCGGGGCTTGCCTTTCCCCCCTTAGACATCGTTGCCCAGCTCCCCACCAAAGAACCCAGACGCCCCCGACACGATCTGGTTTGAATTAGTATTTCTCCTTGTAGCAAGGTTCCTTCCTTCACATATTTCTTCGCCTCTTCCTTAGAAACACACAGACGACATATTAGAGGACAATCAAAAACCCTAGGCAAACATGAAGCAGATGAGGTAGACATTGGAGCCCTAATTTCCCCTGTGTTTTCTATTTTCTAATTCAATAGGATTGGAATCTTACGTCGATGTCAGCTAAGACCAAGTCGCTGACAATCTCCCGCCACCGTGAGGCACCGCAAGCTTCTCCCATCCATCACCGTCCAGAAATCAGGCTCTACAAGGCAGATTTGGCCATCATCAAGACAATAAACAACGCCAGGTAGCACGGTTAGCGCCGACTTCGATGAAGTCTTCTAAGCAGCGGAGACGACGTCCTACAACGGACCACGGCCTCCTCGCTTCCTACTCTGTCTCTGTCTCCAACCCTTAAAGCCCACCATCGCCATCATCAGAGTACGCAGCCCAGTCGCCGCCATCTCCTCCAGTGAGGCGCCGCGCTCTACGAGGAAGAATTGGGGGTGGTAGATAGATGCAGCGGCGGCGGGTGATTGCGTAGAAGAATTGGGGGTGGGAGATTGATCCAGCGAAGGCGGGTGGTTGGAAAGAAGAAGAATTGGGGGTGGGCGATCGATGCAGCGGCGGCGGATCCGACGTGGAGGAGCTTGCCGAAGATGAACCAAGTTTTTGGGCATGGGGGAGTTGAAGAGACGGCCTGCGGTTGTGGAGGAGGAGAGGGAAGCTTGAGTCTCCGTCCTTCTTCTCTTCTACCTCTGTTCGTCGGGAAAGTGAATTTTTTTTTGAACTTCTTCATTGTTTCCCAGGAGATGCAGATATGCGGATTTGAGTTTTTGCTTTTTAAATTTTCTTTTAATTTGCTTTTGTTAGTTTATTCATTTTTTATGGAAAAATAATAAAAATAAAAGATAAAATTCCACATCACATGCCACGTCAGCGCTGACTAGACTTTCTGTTAAAAACTAACGGTCAACGCTAGTCAACTCTAACGGAAAAATAGTTTAGGACACAAATGTCATATCGAATACTTTAGGACACAAATGACAAAAAGTCAATAGTTCGGGTTTCCCGGTGGTATTAGCCCTAATAATTATATTAATAAATCAAGAAACCCTACAAAAATCGGTTTCTAACATCTCCTCCCTCTTCAGACCAACCTTGTCCTCAAGGTTGACCGGCTTGACCAACTCTGCCACGTTCTCCGTGTAATCCGCATCCTTCCTGCGCTTTCTTTTCTTCCAATTTTGCTCCACCTTTTCACAAACCATCGAGCTTAATCCAAACAAGAGGTCCAACCAGAAAGCCCTTTTTTTTTTTGCCATAGATAGATCGTAATAGATAGGGTATTACCGTATGCGCATACCAAGGAGTGATCGATGTCGAACCCAACGAAGCCAGTGCTTCCACCCACTCCCCGCCTCGTCGCACCGTCGAAACGGACGAGAATTCCACCAAGGGGGCACGCTGGGACTGTTGTTGGTTCCCTTCTTTGCCGCCCTCCAATAGGTTGATCCCTCGACGCAGCAGATGCTTCTTTCCACTCCTCAATCTGTCGATTATACTGTCTAAATAAAGGGCCGGGCAGGTACTGAATTTTGTCATAAATCGACCAACAGCGGCCCTTCCATATGCGCCAGGTGATGAACACAACTTCCGCAATTTCCATCTTCGATAGCTGCATAGAAAAGAAAAGCTCATGCCACGCAAGGTCACTAGGCACACTAGACATCACTTCCCGGATCTGCTCCTTTCCAGCAAGAGTCCAGATAGCTCGAGCGACCCTACAATCAAAAAAACAGTGTGAGATGGATTCTGCCCTTTCTGAGCAAATCAAGCAAATATCAGAATCACATATGTGCTTCCCTTTAAGAATGGCTTGCATTGGGAGGAAGCCTCTTACAATCCTCCAAAGAAAAAACTTGAGCTTAGGAGGTATTGGGAGGCTCCATAGTGTCTTCCAAAATCTTGTAGTGAGGTACGGGGGAAGTTGATCAAACTGAAGATGTCTGCTGGCTGCTTACAGTTGATATCCTGATTTGACAGTGTATTGCCCCGAATCAGAGTAGTGCCAGATGAGTCTGTCAGGCTGAGGTACTGATGGCAGCGGTATTGAGAGTATCCATGATACACTCTCAGGTGTGAAAAGTGCACGGATGAGGTCGCCATTCCAAGTCCTCGTAATTGGATGTATAAGAGCAGACACATAGGGGTTAGGAAGAGATATACCCGGCAGTAGGATTGGAGTAGAGGGCGGTGTTGAAGGCAACCAGAAGTCCTCGATAGTGCGAATTGCTGATCCGCAACCTACTTGCCATCTCAGCCCTTGCTTGAGGAGGTTACGCCCTTCCAGGACACCTTGCCAAGCCCAAGAAGGCCGGGAACCAGCTGTTGCAGTGAGGAAGTCGCAGTGCGGGTGGTAGCGAGCTTTGTAAATCCTTGCAAGGAGAGAATCCGGACACATCAGCAGCTTCCAAGCTCTGTTTCCCAAGCATCGCTATGTTGAAAAGATCAAAATCCCTAAACCCAAGACCTCCATGGAATTTGCTGACACATACTGCCGGCCATGAGATCCAGTGCATTCCCCTCTCCTTATCTTGCCCCGCCCACCAAAATCTAGCCAACTGGCTATTAAGTCTGCGGCAGGAAGAGGAAGGGAGTCGGAATGAAAACATAGTGTACATCGGCAGTGCAGAACCAACAGCCTTGAGAAGTACTTCTTTTCCCGCTAGAGATAGGGATTTGGATCGCCAACTTTGAATGCGGGCAGCAAGATTATCCTCAACAAACTTGAATGTCTGGACCTTTGATCTCTGAATTTGAGCCGGAAGCCCCAAGTACTTGTCAAGTGGGCCTATGGACGAGATACCCAGCATAGCTGCCAACTGATTCTTCTCCTGTTCACTAACATTAGAGCTGAAGCATACTGAAGATTTCTGGAGGTTTATGCGCTGCCCACTAGCTTCCTCAAAGGGCTGTAGCATCTGAATCAGGTTAGCACATTCCGAGGAGGTTGCCCGCAAGAAGAGGTAGGTATCATCTGCGAAGAATAGATGGGAAATAGTTGGGGCAAGTCGGGGGACCTTCAGCCCATGCAGCTGCTGTAGCCCAAGCGCATTCTGAAGAAGCGTTGAAAAAGCCTCCGTGTAGATGGCGAAAAGGAGTGGGGATAACGGATCACCCTGTCGAATACCCCGTTGCGATTTAAAATACCCATGCTCATGTCCATTAAGAAGAACCGTGAACGAAACTGTAGTGACACAAGCTTTAATCCACTTCATCCACTGTGAGCCGAAACCTAGTGCTTCCATTACTGCAAATAGAAAGCCCCATTCGACCCGGTCGTACGCTTTTTCCATGTCCAATTTGAGAGTCATCCATTTATCCTTTCCCGCGGACTTCGTCTTTAAGAATTGCATCACTTCCTGCGCAATAAGGATGTTTTCGGAAATATCCCTTCCCTTGATAAAACCATTCTGAGAATCAGATATAACGCCAGGAAGAACAACACTGAGCCTAGTCGTGAGGACCTTGGAAACTATCTTGTAGAAGACCTGAGACAAGCTGATCGGCCTCATTTGTTTCATCAACTCAGCATTAACGACCTTGGGGATTAGAGTGATAATCGTGTGGTTGAAGTACTGAAGTAAGCGCCCAGATCTGAAGAAGGACAGGGCTGCCCTGCAAACTGATTCACCAATAATATCCCAATAGGTTTGGAAGAAAGCACCTGTAAGCCCATCCGAACCCGGGGCTTGCCCGGGGCCTATGCTGAAGGCTGCAGCTCGAATCTCATCCCGAGTGACAGGGGCAGCCAGGAAACAGTTCTGTGCATGATCAATCTTTGGCTGAATTCCCAATGCAGTAACCAAAAGGCTGGGCAGGATCCCATTAGACGTAAACAACTGTTGGAAGAAGCCCACCGAAATACTACCTTTACCCTCCTCATCAAAATGCCGGTTCCCAAATTCATCTTGCAAAACCT